AGGTCACTGCTTGAGTAGTTCATTGGAACGATGTCGTAGTAAACCGCTATGTACTTGGAACTTCTTGGTTTGATGGCAATGCCTTCTGTCTCGTCTGATACAACAACTTTCCTCTTGACGTAATCGACTATGACGCTGGACAGCAATAGAGAAAACACTCGCCTCGACGGAACGGGGTGATATGCCGATTCGCTCTGATAAGCCGTCTTCACTCTGTACCGCGCACGATGTACCCTTGTACTGTGCTTCTACTAGTCATAAGGTTTTCTCAGAAAATCGCTGATGGATAATCGGCAACATGGGGCGGTGGAAGACCGAATTGAAGGCTGCGTTTAAGTTAAGGAACGTCGACTGCAAACGGATCTAAAACTTTCAGAAATGTTCGATTTTCGATTTGTAAGTATAGGTGTAAGGTAAAAACATAGTCCGAGTTGTGTTGTGCACTGAGAACTTGAGGAAAAAGTCGTCGTTCACTTCCTTGCCTGTTCTGTTTACAACGTGAAGTCTTAAAAGTCTTAAAACGTTGGATATATCCATCCAAAATCCTTACGTCTCTCCCTCAGTTCAATCAGGTTCATAACTTCGTGTAACAGATGCGAGTAGGATATACTTCTAGGATTCAACTAGCTTTGAAATTCGCAATAAAACGCGGCTGTTTGAATTTTTAAAATTATTCAGATGATTGAACGATGCTCTAATGCACTGGCAGCAATTTACATTGCAACGACGGAAAGGAAAGTTTGTAACCGTTGGAATGTCGGTATTCCATATGCTTTCATAATGAGACCATTTCTGGCGCGCATTTTTTCTTGAAGTAAGTGGCCAGGCGCAGATCTACATTCTATGCCATCAGCCAAGAATGGCATGCTTTAAAGGCAGGATCGATAGCCAGTACACAGCAGGCATAATGTGCAGTCTCTTGTTTCTTTTCCACGATTGGTACTCATTTATCTATCGCACTAAAAACAAGGGCTAGTAGCCTGACCAAAGTTCTAACCAAAACATCGGTTCTGAGTCTGATGCTCTACCGACTGAGCAACTACGGCCAGTTTAAACGCAAGTTAATTGGGATTGCGCATCAGAATCTAATGCGCTGAAATGGCAACCAAAAGCTTAAGAGGAAATAACAAGTGACGATGCAAACTGCGGAACAGGGTTGAGCATGTCTGAAAAATAATCCGAAAAACGACGAATAATGAACGTAATGGAACTCTGCCAGAAACTAGCGTGGAAACAAAAGAAGCGACGGAATCTTCAGGGAAAAGTACGCACAGGCAACGCATGGACGGGCTCCCGCAGAATTCTGAATAAAAATTTTCGTTCAAAAAATGATCACTAAAAACGTGCAGCACTGCAAAACCGATGTCACCTGCAACGACCCTTATTCTTTCATGATCGGCGCTGACGCGCTACACAGGCAGCATACTGTTTGATCATTCATCTGGATCGAGGTATAAAATATTACCCTTTTTGCCCATCAGGTCGCTTCCAAGTATGCATCCATTTTCAGAGTTAGCTTTCAAGACGATGCCAGTAGCCGTTCCAACGGAAATCGTTGACGGCACTAGCACGGAGTTAATTTCGATCGGCAAGTGGCCGAGCCTCTGGTGAAGGACCGACCTCGCACCGTCGGCCATCGCCCTGGCTACCTTAAACTGTTCGCATGCAAACAACAAATGGCATGTGCGCCAAACCGGCACCGGAGCGAAGCACTCACCTTCACCGGAAGCGTACCGGCACACCAAGCGAAGCCGGCGATGTGACTGATATTTCCTCTGTCCAACATCTCAACGCCGTGAAGACTTTTCACCGGATTTGTGGTCATTTGGACCTCGCCGCCTCCTCTCGGATAATATCCTCTGTTTGCATCTGCGTTACGCCTGTCATTCGTCAGTTAAAATGCTTACCTTCTTCGAACCTCGCACTCAAAGTTGAAGCCGAACTTCTCCGCCATCGGTTTGAAA